GAAAAGACTTCTGTAGAAGTTGAAGTATCAACTCAAGCTTTTTTCTAAGTAAAAGTGTAAAAGTACTGGTTTCAAAAACTACTTAAAGTATAAAAGTAAAATTTCTACTTAAGTAAGGTAACAAAGTATTTGTACTTAGTTACTTGACACTTCTGGTGGTTTTAAAATGGGTGTTGTGTTTGGGTTTCAGATGACAATGATGATGAAGACTTCGAGCTTTTCCTGAGTGCCAGTGACAGTGAGTCTTCAGATGAAGATGGCTACTATGACCAGGCAGACAGTTTCATGGAAGAGGATCAGCTTGAAGAGACTGACATTTTTGGGGAGGAAAATATGGATGCAGATGGGTTCAGGGTCACAGAAGACAGCCCTGAACATTTGATGTTGAAACTGCTTGCATTTATGCTTTTGGCATGGCAAGCTGTTTTCAAAATATCAGACCATGCAATTTTTGCACTCTTGCAGTGCATAAGACAATTAATTTGGCTCATGGGACATATTCTGTGTGTGAACACACTCTGTGGGCTGGCTGGAAAGATCCCTAAGACTTTATATTCACTCAGGAAATGGACTAACATCTGCAGAGACAGCTTTAGCCAGTTTGTGGTATGCCCAAAGTGTATGGTAACATACACAATTGAGGAATCATACACCACCTCTAGATCCGGTGCAAAAATCATCAACACTTGTTCTTCTAGACCTTTCCACAAACACCCACAAAAGAAATTAAGAAGCAAATGTGGAACTCCTTTGATGAGAAAGCTTATTGGCTCAAGTGGTAAAGAATACCTGTATCCCATCCGTGTCTACTGTTACAAAAAGGTCCGTCAGTCTTTGGAGACTTTGGTGAGAAGGTCTGGATTTTTGGAGAAATGTGAGCAATGGAGACACCGCAGCATGCCTGATTCTGTCATGGGGGATGTATATGATGGGAAAATCTGGCAGGACTTTCAATATGTAAATGGTCAACCATTTCTATCAGAACCTAATAATTTTGCACTGATGATGAATGTTGACTGGTACCAACCCTATAAGCACTCCCCATATTCAGTCGGTGTTATATATCTTGTCGTTTTGAATTTGCCGAGAGAGGAACGCTTCAAAGATGAAAACATGATTTTAGTTGGAGTGATACCAGGACCCAAAGAACCCAAACTCAACATGAATGCATATCTTGAGCCCTTGGTTGATGACCTCCGAGAATTGTGGGAAGGAGTTGTTCTAATGGACTCTTCACCCTTGGGATGCCAGGTTTACAGAGCAGCATTACTCTGCCTCTCATCTGATATTCCAGCTTCCCGCAAGTGTGGTGGTTTTGTTGGCCATGGAGCACTAAGAGGTAAATTCTGATTTATTATGCTGTTTCACACTATTGCTCAGCTTTTTCCTATTGTGTGCAATAAATCTAACTTTAAAACAATTATTATCTTTTCAGGATGTAACAAGTGTCTAAAGAAATTCACGAAAAAATCTTTTGGGGGAAAAACGGACTTCTCCGGATTTGACAGATCAACCTGGACTCTGCGCACCTCTGAGGAACACAAAAGATTTGCAAAGATGACAGAGAAGGCTACTACAAAGGCAGCCCAGAAGAAACTGGAAGCGCAGTATGGTGCCAGGTGGTCTGAACTGTTCTTCCTGCCATACTATGATGCCATCCGGTTTGTTGTCATTGATCCCATGCACAATTTACTCCTCGGAACTGCTAGACATGTTTTCAAACTCTGGATTGAGTGTGGGGTATTAAGTATCCAGAAGCTTGAAGAACTCCAAAAAAGAATGGACTCTCTCAAGGTGCCACAGGATGTTGGAAGGATTCCTCTCAGAATTGCATCAGGGTTTAGCGGGTTTACAGCAGACCAGTGGAAAAACTGGACAACCATCTATTCATTGTTTTGTTTAAAAGGCTTGATTGAGGATCCAGATTATGATATGTGGTTTGATTTTGTGCAAGCCTGCATTATTATGTGTTCAAGGGTCATCTCACATGATAGGCTTGAAGTAGCTGACTGTTACTTGCAAACATTTTTGTCGAAGTTTGTTGAACTGTATGGATCTCTTCATTGCACACCTAACATGCACTTACATTTACATTTAAAAGAATGCTTGTTAGATTATGGTCCCGTCTATGCCTTTTGGTGTTTCTCATTTGAGCGGTTAAATGGAATGTTGGGACAGTATCATAACAACAACAGAAATATTGAGGTTCAGGTCATGAGAAATTTCCAACAATGTCAACAGCTCCAGATGCCACTGCAAAGCGCCTATGCAACTGAATTCATCAACATCCTGTCTACAAAAGATGTGGGTTCCTTGTCAATCCATGACACCACTGATGTAATGTACATAAAACAGTATTCATGTATGTCATCTGCAACACTTGTTTTTCCAGATGTGGAGATGGTTAAAGCACTACCCCCATTTAAGAATGTAGTATTAACAGATTCAGAGAGACAAGCTTTGTTGTCAATGTACACACAAGTGTATCCTAACAGCTCCGTCTCAAAGGTTGGTCAATTATCAAAGACATGCTTTAGAGTAAGAAGCCTTGGGGTGACTTTTTGTGTAAGAGGCAGGGCTGAAAGGTCAGCGTGTGTATCTGCAAAGTGGTGTGTTTACAATTCAAGTTTTGAAGAGCCTGTCCTTGATCCTACTGCAGAGGTGCGTCCTGGAATAGTGAAACAATTCTTTGTAATTTCTGTGAAAACACAAACTTCCATTATTCAGCATGTAGTGGCAAAAATAATGTGGCTGCACCCTCACCCAGACAGGCATTTCTTTGGAAAGCCTGTGGAAGTTTGGGGTATCAAGGGAATAGAGTCTAACATTGCCTCATCATTCCTCCCTGTTGAGCGCATTACAAGCAGATGTGTTCTCAGTACCACAACTGTGCAGTTAAGTCACACTAGGGAGAGAGTGTCTGTGGTCATTCCAATGTGTACAGTGGTAGAGATTTAAAAAAGTTGTATCTCTGAAGTGACCATTTGTGTGTGAAACATTTTTGTTTACATTGTTTTACATTGTTTATTTTGTAGGTTTTGTATTGTTTGAGTGCATTTTACACTAAATAAATTTGCATAATCCTAATGAGTATTTCTCCTTTGTTATGAAGAGCAGTGGACACCCAGATACAAACTTCTTTTAAGGTACAGTCTTTGTTGTAGATTGACACAATGTAAAGCACTTAGCAGCCAAATCACCTTTCCTGAATAGTAAGGAGGGGGGCAGGGGAATAGGGGCAATCTTGAGCTGCCAGTCCCAAAACAAATTAGCATTTACAAAGCCAAGCCATCAACTAACAGCAGGGGGTCAGACAAGTTCCTGTTTTCGGGCATTTGCAGGCATTTACAGGTACGCATAACAAAGTTCCAAAGCTCCATGCTAAAGAGCACATTTAGCGGGCGTATTCATTGCCTGAATTCTCCCGTTTACACCTCTTTTGACGCAGTGCTAGGGATGCAGCGATCACCGGATTTCACAATTAACCGCGCTTTAAAACGTCACGGTTAATTAATCGTAAAGACTATGCTACACCGAGTGTTCTGCACAGAACGGAACTTTTGCAACTAACACAAAACGAAAACTAAGCTGGTGCACCGCTGGTGTAACTTTAAGTGCGGTGCTCATCAGCCACTATGGCAGAGGGACTAAGCAGCGACGCTCTATTTCCTCTGAAAAACGCCTTATGGCCTGTTCACATATCGCGTCTTTTGCGCACTCAAGTTCGTTATTTCAAATGTATGCGCGCTCACAATGGAAGCGACACGGTCGCGGTGCAACGCGCTCGTTTTCTCCAAGCGCGTCCGCGCTGCATCGAGATAAAAACATCTCATCTTTTTAGAATGCCGCAAGCGCTTTGATTGCTTAGCAACGACAGACGCCTCCGGAGCGCAACCGCCCTAGCGCTTTGGAAAAAGGAGAACGCGCCGCGCTTAGCGTTTTCTACGCGTTTTTTTAGGCGCTACATGTGAATTACTCTCAAGAGTTTCAGTCAGTGAACATTTAACTTAATATCCTATTGCTTTCTCCTGTCTGTGTTGTTTGTAGTTTTAATATGCCCGGTGTAAAACACTAACATAAGATCAGGGCCGTGTAGACTTCTAGGACTAAGCTACCAATTAACTGCATTCACACGGCATGAGAGATGTTTTCAATTTCTTTCTATAATTTTAAAAGTCAGCCTTTGACTTAATTTGTTATTTTTAAAAGAAAAATACTGGATGTTTACAAAGCACTTCTCTTTAATTCCAAAGGAAGAGATTGATTATTGTTTGTCATTTTATAATTTTGTACTGTGTAGTGGCAGCAATAAATAACACTTTAAAATCTAGTGTTGAGTGTTCATGTGATATTATACATTAGTAGTGTTGTGAAATTAATTGATGCATGATAATCGTTAAATCGTGATTATTTCTCAGACAATAATCGAACTTACAAAATCTGTAATCGTTGCATCCCTAACACACACACACTCAGGTATGTGACATGACGTGACCAACACCACGGGTCAGTGCGCTTCATCTGTGCGTCACATGACTTTATACACTGACGTCTCACGGCTGTGACATCATCACACGACTAACATCAGTCCGTCAGCTTTGTGTTTGTTTGTTTGTGGTTAGTTAGTGGATGATGTTGGTAAGCTTAAGGGTCATGAAACCTCCTGTTGAAACCTTAAAGATTTCCATAAAACAATTCATGATCACATGCAACAAAATCAACACATATATTATACATGGTTTCTAAGCTCACGTAAATGTGACGGCTTTAATTTAATGCACAAATAAGTGCTTCTCTTTTATGAAGTGACACACACACACACACACACTGTTCCGATCTCAGGAAATGTTCATGATGATTTAATGTGAATCTCTAGAGCTGTGAGATCATGAGCAGAACTGACTCCATACATCCACTCAAATCACCAAAACACATTTAATGATGAAGATCCTGCAGCGTCTCACACACCTGAGGGACGTGTGTGTGTGTGTGTTTTTCAGGGCTGCCGGTGGTCCTGTCGGCCGAGCCAGAGGCCGTTCTGCTGGGAGCCGCTGTGATCGGAGCCTGTGCTTCATCTGACTGTGGCTCCATACAGGTACAACACACACACACACACACACACACACACACACACACACACACACACACACACACACACACACAGCCGCTGTGATCGGAGCCTGTGCTTCATCTGACTGTGGCTCCATACAGGTACAACACTCTCACACACACACACACACACACACACACACACACCCTGAGGAACACTCTGTCTCTCTTCTCAGGAAGCAATGATGAAGATGAGCAGAATAGGGCATGTCGTCAGACCAAACCCTGCTCTAGAAAGGTGCCGTTTAATGATGTTTCTCGTAATAAAGCATTAATCCACGAGTAGCAGAGATTTAACAGTCATAGATCAGGATTCATGTCTCCTGTATGAGTAATGAATGATTATTGGTCTTTGTGTGTGAAGCTTTTACAGAAGGAAGTACGCCGTGTTTCTGCGTCTTTATGATCATCAGAAGGAGTGTGTGGCACTGATGGAGGATGATGGAGTTTCAGACACAGACGGCCAGATTAAACACTAGAAGAGTCCGCTTCAAATGACCAAAAACACTAGATGTTCATTCAGCTGTCCTTTAACTGAACATTATAAGTGTTCAGCCTTTTACACACATGAGCAGGAGTGAGGAAAATATCTCCCGATAAAACCACTTTATAAACAAGTGTCGACCATAACTGGAATCAGTGTTGAAATATGCATTTCAGAGCAATAAAAGGCTTTAAAAAAAATAATTTTGCAAGATTTATTCTTTTGTGTGTGTGTGTGTGTGTGTGTGTGTGTGTGTGTGAGAGAGAGAGAGGGAGAGACGTGCGCAGAACTCCTCAGGGAAGGAAGGACCAAAAAGGGGGGAAAAAAGTTCCTTTTATTTCTTTTTTTATCCTTTCTTTCCTTGGCATTTTATGAAAAGATGTTGATACAATAAGAATGCATAACACATCAAACGAACATAGGGAAATGATAATATTACTATTTATTTACTTTACCAAACAAAACAGTGAGAATCAAGTTTTCATTTTCAAGAATAATTTTGTTGATGTTGTAAATTGTATGTATTATATGCATGAAGTGTTAGCTATCATGAAATCAGTAACACTTTATAATGTTTCAGTAGTTAAATTTGTTAACATAATAATGAACTGCACCTCTACAGCATCTCTTAGTTAATATTAATTTCAGCATTTACTAAAACATTATTAAAATCAAAAGTTGTATTTGTTAACATTAGTTAAGCACTGACTGTAACATGAACAAACAATTAACAGTTGTATTATTATTAACTAAGATTAACAAATACAGTAACACGTGTTGCTCATGATTTCATGTTAGATACATGAATAATAAACAAATTAACCTTATTGTAAAGTGTTACTATGAAATCAAAGATATGAATTCCTTACAATTTAGAGTTGGAGATGGACTTAAGATTTAATTTCAATGTATTTCCCCAAGCTAATAACACTTGCCTTGGATAAAAACACATGACATTGACAGACTCGGAATGCGGCTGAAATCGAGTTACACCTTTATTATAGTTAAAGAGATAGTTCATCCCAAAATGTAAATTCTGTCAGTAATTACTCACCCTCATGTTGTTCAACCCCGCAAGACTTTCGTGCATCTTTGGAACACAAATGAAGATATTTGTGATTAAATCTGAGAGCTGGATCACTCCTCCATAGGCTTCTGAGTGATTGAAACTTGCCGGCCCAGGAAAGTTATTAAAGAAATCATTAAAATAGTCAGAGTGACTACAGTGGCTCAATCTTAAGTTTATCAAGCGACAAGAATACTTTTGAGCGCAAAAAACAAACAAAAATAACGACTTTATTCAAGTATTCATTTCCTTCTTTCTTGGCCTCGAGATAGTTTACGTAGTGTAACAGCGCAGCGCGTCTGTGTTGTATGTCACACGCAGGCTCACTATTGGCCGACTATAAGGCCTTATAGATTTTTTGGGTCGAATAATAAAGTTTCTCGGATCTTCTTGAAACTCTGGATTCGGATAGAGGGTGTTGAGACATCGACAGGAGTGCAAGATTCGAGACTCTAGAGCCTTCCAGAGCTGAGATATAGAGATCCCACGTAGCATTTATTACATTGTACAAAATAGTGGCTTCACGGACAGTGGAATTTTGGGATGAAACTTATGCTACAGACTCTGTAGCATAACAGAGTGCTGATAAATGGGTTTCATCAAAATATTTCGTAAGCTAAGCTTAAAAAACACTGTGTTCGTGAAGCCACTATTTTGCCGCCAAATAGTGGTTTAGCGGACACACCTTTTTATGCAAATTAAGCACTGAAATGGCCCCATGGCCCTGAAATCGCTCACTCTGCTGTGTCGGGCCCCCTGATCGACGTACCGAAAGAGCCCGGGCCTGAATTATTTTTTTTGTTATCATTTTTTATCCATCGCTCTGTCTGCCATTGAAGTCAACAGGCCCGTTTTCAGCCAGACACTCGTCCGGACTTGAAACGCTTGGCAAGCGGCGAGGGCCCTCAAACTCTGGGGCCCGACTCAGGGGCACTAGACGACGGGTTTCGCTGAGTTCCTACGACCTTCCGTCTCCTTACGGACGCGTGTTCCTTTTTTTGACCCCTGTAAGTGAATGACATTTTTGAATGGGGCCTCATTCGTTTTAAATAAAGAAAACGTGTATTAAACCACCTCTAGTGTACTTAGCATGCTCAAGTGGACATGATCCACTAATTTGAGTAATTTCAGTGCTTAAAAAAAAGAAAAGAAAATAAGGCCCTGGAAGCTAATAACAATGAAATGAATAGTTTCTATTAGTAATGATAGTTTCTGTTCCTTTGTCATTTTTAAATGAAGATCAGACACCAAATATCAAAACTAGATATTGTAAGCTTTCAAATGATATGTTTTTTTTATTTTTATTTTTTACTTTAGGTTTAGACTAAGAAATAATAGTTTTAAATGTAAAACGTCAACATTTTTGCTGTGACCCTCCGGGACCTTATTCAGTGTAAAATACAAAACATGTATACTAAACATAAAATACAAAACATGTATACGAAACATAAAATACAAAACATGTATACGAAACATAAAATACAAAACATGTATGCAAAACATAAAATACAAACCAGTACACAAATAGTGGTTTCGCGGACACTCATTTTTGTGCAAATTAAGCACTGAAATTACTTGAAAGTTAGATGAATGTGTTCAGTTGAGTGTGCTTATAAAGGTGGTTTAATCAACGAGAATCGACATCACGTATGACGGGAAAGCAAAAACACAAAAATGTCCCAGATCAAACCTATTTAGTGGCCGCCCAATAGTGGTTTCGCGGACACTGCATTTTTGAGCAAATTAAGCTTTGAAATAACTTAATTAGTGTGATGTGTTCAGTTAAGTGTGCTTAGTACAGTAGAGATGTTTTAAATAATGAGAATCGACATAATTTATGACGGAGAGTAGGGCTGGGCGATAAAACGATAATGATAACGATAATTATCGCAATATAATTTTTTCTCGATAAAACGATATCAAGAGTTTGATAAATGTTCGATAATGTTTATGCGCCAAAAGCGGAACGAAACTTATTTGAACCGCGCGCCACACGGACTGTGTGTCCGCTCGGCTCAAAGTCCAGACGGCAGCGCAGCGCAAGCTCACTAGAGCAGACGCGTTTACTCTGATCGTCTCGCTCACAAGATCCAGTGAGAAGCGCTTGAGTTCAGCGAAGAACACAAACGTCTCAGTGATTAAAACCAGTTTAAAGGCAGATGAAACAGCACTGACGAACAGGAGAAACACTGTGAGACACGATACAGTCAGAAGGGTTTTCCGTCTACAAACTCCCATCATTTACCATGGATTTACTGTAACGTCAGCCTAGTGATATTAACTGCACCATGAAATGTGGGATATTCACAATAGCGGTTTTGGGCACGGGCGATCCGGGCAGCCGCCCGGGGTGCATTTTTTCATGACACATGGGGGGCGGCACGAGCAGTTAAAAAAAAAATCCTCTGCGCTGCGAAGCAGTTTTCTATTATCTATCACTGGGGTCTCCTGTCTCCAACACGCCGCTCGCGAGCTACCAGTTCGTGGCCTGATTGGAGGTAGCTCGCCAAGGGACCGTTTACATATCGCGTCTTTTGCGCGCTCAAGTTCGTTCAAATGTAGGCGCGCTCATAATTAAGCGGCGCGCTCATTTTTTTCCAGGCGCAGTAAAATGAAAAGGTCTCTAACATGTGACAAGAACCAACTAATCAGCTTCAGGCTTTCCGTAACAACATTGAAATCCATTAGCTACTAAAACTTCTTTGTCGTTGTGTAGAGTGCAGTGCATGGTTGCTTAGCAACGACAGACGCCAAGGGAAAATCCAAGGGGGTTATCCACCAGCCGGAAACTGAAGTGTCGCCGGGGGCCGCCATCGGCTAGCAAGCCTTCACCTGCTGTTAGCATTCCATTGACTCCCATTCATTATGGCGTCACTTTGACAGCAAATAACTACATCTGAGGCGTTTAAAGACTCCATTTGTCCATTGTTTATTTGTAAAGAAACACGACAATGTATAAAAGGCTCCATTACCTTGTATCTTACGTTGTGGCCTTGTAGAAGCAGTTTTTGTAAAATAGGCTAACGATTGCGTCATAACACGCGACTCTCTGTTGCACACTAGAGAAATTACCCTATAGACAGAAGTAGAAGCTCGCGCGCAATCGGGGGGGAAGGTGGAGGCATAAAGTCAAGGGAGAAGCCCATAGAGTGTCATAAAGTTGCTCCCGCTGCTCATGGACAGCTCCTACTCACACTCTCAGTCTCTGCAAGATTCGGAAGGGAATGATTCAGATTCCTCTCGGCACCGCTACTAGAAGATGTACAACTGTGAGACAGGTTGCTCACGTCACATCTATGTCATCCAACACAGCATGCGCAGTCGCTCAGCCATCAGGAAGTGAGTGCTTCTGAAGTCAATTAAGTGAGTGCTTCTGAAGTCAATTTGCTGAAATATGTGAGGTTTATCTTTTTATAAAACCTTTTTGTCAAAGCTTTATTTGAACTTACATGTTAGTAGATAACATGGTGCAAGACACTCTTTTGAAATCTGGCAATCATTTTTAATGTTATTATTTTAATGTTTATGTAAACAAAAAGTGCATATTGATGCTAATTTTATTTGTTAATTGCAAATTTTTCGACCTAAAACTTGTTGAATTGATTTCATTGTGTAGTATTAGGCTACTTTTTGAACAGGATTCTGTAACCGTGATCATTTTGGTCACTATAAGTTAAACATGAAATTAATTGTTCATGCCATTTCATCTCTAGTTATGATCAACTATGATCAACTATAATTATGTAGCCTACTTTTACAGTATAATATGCAAAGTACAATTTTCTATAAAACATGAATCTCTGATTCTGTTATTTTCTCTGACATTTAAGGGTGACATATACAGGCCTACAAAACTCTTTTTAGGTATAAAACAGTTTGGATAGTTTTTAATAGGATAGTTATGAGACATTATTTAAGAGATTTACCCTACTAAAGATTTAAGTATTGTATTACATGAGTAGCTCTGCCACTTTCATTTGTAAAAAGTAGCTCTCAAATGAAAAAAAGTTGGAGATTACACACAATTAACGCTCTGGTTTCTACAACTTTCACTTAGGAGCAAACATCTGCCTTTAAACTTGAAATAAATAAAGATTTGACATTTATTGTGATAATTATCGATATCGAATAATATAA